AGCCGAGCCGGGGCCCCACATGGCCGGGCAGGCAGCGCTAGCCGAACGCAGAGCGCCCCCTCGCTCCCCATTGGCAGAGGCGGCGAGGGGCGGGGCCCGAGGAGGAAGCGCGGCGCGCGCCTTGCCGGGGCTCGGGGTCCGGCTGCCTGTCCTGCCGCGCGGGGGGGGGGGGGGGGGGGGCGCGCGCTCGTTGCAGTACTGCCGCGCGGGGGCGGGGCGGGCCGCTGGGAGAGGCTGCGCCTGTAGCACATGGCCTGCAGTCCCGCAGCTACATACCCGCCCCCGCTGCTCCCTCCCTCCCTCGGGTACTTCCGTGCCCGCTCTGCGCCGGGCCAGGAGTGAAGCTGAATCTGTCAGTCCCTCTGAACGCTCCCTTCTGTGGCAGCTGCGTCCAAAGTAAAGAGTTCTGCGACCATTCGTGTGGGTGTCCCGGAGAGTTCTCCGTCCCCTTGTCTACACACGGACAGCAGCGGGCATGGCTAATCCAGAATAGCGCCTCGTGTGCAGACGGGAGTCCAGAATAAAGTCACTTTTATCCCATAATAATTTTTCTGCTTTGTGCGTGAATTATTCTAGCATACAGTCATTTTTATCCCAGAATTGTGTCCACACCAGGAGCGATTGCTTTATTTCTGAGGCTCTCAAGTCATTTTACAAGTTCATTTCCCAGCCACCAAAATTCAGCCACTTCTAGGCTGGGGCAGCTGACACTGAACAGTTTACAACACAACATGGCAGTTCGGTAGGGTGAACAGATGTCCCAATATTATCGGGACCATCCCAATATTAGGAACTTTGTCTTATATATGCAATTATATCAGTCCCCCTGAAAAAAAAATGTCCTGATTTTTCACATGTGCTATCTGGTCATCCTCCAGTTAGGCCAGGGAGTGAGTTGAAACTACACAAGGAATTTTAGGGAGGCAGGATGTAATTATGCAACTGTAAATCGACTAAGATAGGTGTGGGTTGTGCAAACAACCTTGTCCCTAATTTTGTTTAAACTGTCCTGGGAGTTATTTACCCTGAAATATTTTAAGCAAAACTCACACATCCTGATTCTAATGTACTTAACACAATACTGACAACTTCAAATGTACAAAAATCATGAGATTTTAAAAAATAATATACTTCAGGTTATTTGTATTTGCTTTCAGGTTTCCGAGTCTTTAGGGTTGACTGTAGGATTAACTGAATGGGGTCACATTTTCACAGTAGAAACTTTTTCTTTTTAATGAAAGCTGAAATTCTCATGAAATCACGTGACTCCAGGAGTTTGGGCTTTGAGAAAAAACACTAAGTATTGTAGAACCTCTGCTAAAATCATGAGAGTTGGCAACAATAAATAAGCATAGAGAGAATATGTAACTAACTCTTTGTACAATGAGGCAGTAGATAATTCTGCTACGTCCATCCAGGAAGTGCACCAGTAGCTTCCAGCTGACCTAATGCACTGTGTACAAGATAACACGGTGTTTATCTTTTATGAATAAAGTACCATAACCACTGCAATGAGCACTGTTGATTAATCACGATGCAAGAGTATTTCTATATGGTTTTGATTCCCCAAGCTGTAAGTCCTGCTCCTCCAGTCCACATATTCACGCTCAATGCAGGTTAATGTCAGTGGAACATTAGCTTGAGTAAGGATTGCAAAACTGCATCCATAACAGTATTTTTACTTGTGACGAAGGGAGAGAGAAAAGGACTTTCTGGTAAGGACACGTTAGGGTAGCACTTGCAATGCAGCTTTACTGGTCTTTAGAAGTAAAATAATCTTGTGAGAATAGAAGTTACTCTCCCCTTTAGCAAAGCCCATAGTAGCCTTATTTGACATTTTAGCTGGATTCATGGCACTAAAGCAGTGCTCATATTAAGACCAGTACATGAGGTCGGTACAGGGAATCCTTCTCCCCAGGAATTATTTTGGACAGTGATCTTTTAGGGCAGGCGTTTTAGTGGCGCCTAAGTGGGTTAGGATTCATGGGTGCCTTTCACTGGGAGTTGGGTGCCTAACTCTTGTTGGAAATCTCAGCCTTAGTTTCTCATAGCAAGATATGAGGTGCGTGAAGTGTACACAGCATCTAGCTGAGAGGTGACAAATAAGATCATAGAATCTCAGGGGTGGAAGGGACCTCAGGAGGTATCTAGTCCAACCCCCTGCTCAAAGCAGGCCCAATCCCCAAATGGCCCCCTCAAGGATTGAATTCACAACCCTGGGTTTAGCAGGCCAATGCTCAAACCACTGAGCTAATGTCCTGCATGTTACCAGGATTTCGCAACAGAGATTTCACACCTGTGACCCCGAGATGTAACACACAGACCGAGTCAAACCACTGGCCTGCGATGTAGGTGAGAAAGCACAGCAACGTTTGAGAAAGTCCCTGGGCAGCTCCCCAGACAAGCCACATGGACCTCCTGCTTCACCTTGCACATTTCAGTTCAGCAATAATCAACCCTTCTGCAAATCCCAACTTCAGTGTCAGCGGGAAGAGGCGCTGGAGCGGGGTTTTGCTTTGAACATTTGGGGAAATGCTCTTCCCACTACATACACACACGTAAGATTCTCACGTCACCCTCCCCTTGCAGCTGATAACACACACTTTAAAAATTATACAAAACAAAGTTCGTTTTATTCAGCCATCTACTTACAAAATAAATGGGGAGGGGGGGGAAACAACCCCAGAGAGAAGTGTGAAGCTACAGTAGAATACTGACCAGGGACTTAATTGCATTCTGGGTGCACCAGTAGTTCTGCAATGTTTAGACATTGATCTGTAATGGTTACATCCCATTTCAAATACTTTCTTTCAATTATACAAGTAGAATTAGCTTAAATGACTGAAAGGAGAAAGCTGTTTGCAGCGGTTCCAGGGTATGAGAGAGAAGGTGGGTGAGGTAATATTTTTTGTTGGACCAACTTCTGTAGGTGAAAGGGACAAAGCTTTCAAGCTACATAGAGCTCTACTAAGGACAGTGACAGTTGAGTACCCAGGTGCTACTGTATAGCTTTGATTGAAGGACCAGAAATGGAAACTGCACAGAATGCTTCCTCTTAACTAAGAAACCAAAGAGCTTCTTAGCCATGAGCACCCATCAAACCCCAACTCTCCCCACTGTCTTTGATTAAACAGCACTAATCACTGCCCAAAAAATTAACTTCATAGCAGCTTCATCGACCATTTGACAGAAACATGTAGTCTGAGCACCCACTTGGGAGCCAGAGAGTCCTTAATTCTAATTCTGGCCCTGACACGGCCTCCACCTATAGCCTTGGGCAAGTCACTGCACTGCTGCCTCAGTTTCCCTAGCACTTCAATGGGAATAGTGTTTATGTCTGTGACAGGGGTGTTCTGGGGAGTCCAGGTAGCTTTAGCTCTCCCATCTCAGTAGTTTCTGAACACAGGGATTCAAGTTTGCAGAGCACCTTGAAGGTGAAGAGTGTTATATACACGTACTGAGAAGGTTATTATTTTTGTAAACTACAGCGGAAGTCATTTTAGTGCCACCCCAGCCGAGGAAGAGGCTGAGAATACGGATATAGGAAGCACACAAATGTTGATTAACTTGAGTCTCAGGAAGAAATAAATACTGAAAAAAACCCACCCCAAACCTTGACCCACATTTCCTATTCAGAACCTGAATACACTCGATTCCTGCATAGCACAATAACATGTTCCCAACCCGGGATTCACATGGAAACAAACTCCATGCTCCTAATGGTCTCTACATGTAGTCATCATGTGGTAACATAAGACAAATCCTAGCTCAAAGTTGCTACAGCAGTCAATTTCCTATTGGCCTATTACTTCTACCATAGCCCTCTGGTAACACTTTCTCGGGCGTGGCTCAAGAGGTGAAGACGACACTGCTGATATCCAGTGAATGGCAGCAGCTGACCTGCAAACACAACTACAGTACATTATTCCGGGAGTGGGAGAAGGTTGGCTCAATGCAGCAGCTGGGAAGACTCCATCAGCTCAGCACGACTGGTCTGAGCGTGCTCAGCAGGCACGGCATTCTCTTCAGGAGTGCTCCGTCGGGCCTGCCCCGTGCCCGTTCACGTGAGGATGCGATGGGGTTGAGCTCTGAGGGGCCGCAGTGCTCTGCTCGGCCGTGGCAGCTGCCAGAGGCATGGAGAGGCCTTCGGGGGAAAGCACGGCAGGGTCTTCTCTCCAGTAGGCTTCACACAGAGGAAGATCATTGGTGTCACATAGACTGTAGCTTTCCAGAACAAGCCACCCCAGTAAGGAGAGACAGCAGGTGCAATCAGAGAGGGGAGGGGGGAAAAAAAAGAGGGGAGGGGAGAAAGCAAGACAGAAGCAAAGCGTTAAGAAAATGGCAAAAGCGTCCATGGACATAATGTTTGTGGATTATAAACTTTATCATGAGTCTCATGACACTGATGTTCCCTAACAGGGCTCGGGCTGGTGTGTGATCTCACTGCCCTGGGAAGGATCAGGGGTCGTGTCATTGAAGCCAGCAGTGTTACTCCAGTTTGAAATTGGCATGTGGGTCCACTCTAATTCCCATTCAAGTCAAAGGAAAGACACCTGGGGCAAAATCCCAGCCTCATTAAAGTCAATGGTAAAACTCCCATTCACGTAAGTGGGGCCAGGATTTCATCCCTGGCAATTTCACTGAGAGATCTGGACCTAACTGAGAGGAGAATCAGGCCCTTTGGCCCTAATTTCGCAAGTAATTTTGGGTGTCCAGCTTAATACACCTGACCCTGATTTTTTAGAAAAGTGGAGTGTGCTCACACCTCCAGCTGCTGGGAGCTGCGAATACTTTGCACCTTTCACACTCAGGTCTAAGATCTAAAAACCAGCAGCCACTTTTAAAAGTTTGGGCTGTAAGTGTTTAGAGTCAGGATTATTCTTGATTTACCATGGGGCAAAAAAACCAAACAACTTCCCCTGCAAAAAAAAAAAGGACTAAGTTCTTTCAAGGAGCATTACTAGATTGTCACTGAATTGTTTGGAGGTCTGTATTTGTAAGATCATCATTCCATTCTTTTTGTTAAGAACCAAAAAAAACCCAAAGCCTCTATCCCCTTCTCCCCTGCTCTAGTGTTATGACTAATAGCTAAAAAAGTTGTGCACCAAGAAAAGGACAATCGATTCTCATGCTGCAGGATCACTGTAGGGGTCAGGAAACCCCCCACCCCCATCTCTAGCATTACCAGATTGGCAAAGATTTATGGGAGATTTATGCCTTCTCCTGCAGCATCTTTGGCCAGATTTTCAGAAGTGTTGATCACCTGTAGCTCCCAGTAACTTCAACAGGAATTGTGTGTGCTCAGCTCTTCTGAAAAAGCAGGTGACGGTGGTTGACCACTGCAGGGTATAAGATTAGGTGGACCTGTAGGGTGAACAATTATGACAAATCTTGTGTTCCTAAGCTACTGGCCATCTCTTGTCCCTGTGTTGCCCTGGGTCCTGCTCTGAAGTCTGAGGTGGATGCACAGTGGCAGGGCTATAAATCAAAATAAAAATAGAGGGGAAAAAATGCTGGAAGAGAGGAAGGAGCTGCCCATGCAAGAGACACCCAGAGACCGAAGTGAGTGCTGTAACAGGAAATAGCTTATGTTCAAAATAAAACAAACCCAAGAGGTCCAGGGATTTTCTTGTTTCTGTTTTATTTACCATTAATAGACTCAAATAGAGATTTATGGGAAATATTTTAAAAGTAAAATATATATAAAAAGAGACTAAACACTTTGAACTGAAGAGACGTGTCTAGCAGGTTGAACTCCAAACCCACCCTCCAGTCACCAAGCCACGCTCTCAGAGAGACAGGAGTGTGGACCAGGAATTCAGAGCTCCGGCCACAGGTGGCTGGATAAGGCAAGCTGGAGTGCCCGGGGCTACAGCTTTGGGGAATAAGCACATGAGGAGGTCACTGATTTAAAGCACTTGGTTTTTGGCAGTTACAGAGAATTCACCCAATGCCAAGTCAAATCATCTCTTTTCCAGCAGTCGCCCCGCTAGGTTTGCTAGAGAGAAGGGGTGGGCATTTAGCATCTGGGGCTTTTGCACCATCACCAAGTGAGGTCCCTTCATTGGGGTATGAAGGCTTTTCACCCCATCCTTCAGTGCCTATGCAAAACAAGGCTGCCACTGAGGTATGCATGAAGGACTGCAGGACTGGGGTCTAATTAGTCCTGAAACCACCAACCATGTCTCCTGGATCTCAGCCCCTCATGACTGGATCCCAGAGCACTAGGGTCTGGTGTCCAGCAGACCTCACACAGGAGGACTACTAAGAACTCTTCAGCCTAGCATCCGGGTGGAATACAGCTCTGGAAAAGAAGTGGGCATCTCTCCTTCTCCTCCCTCCCTCCCTTAACCCTCCCCAAATTATATAGACCTCAAAATTTACACTACAGCTCTCCAGCCAGTAACCTGAAGTTCATAGTTGCCATGGGGCTCTGCAAGGCACCATCCAATCTCACAGTGGAGAGGACCCTGAGGCTTTGTTGGATGTGACCCCAAAGGAGAAGTTGGGAGGCGGATGCTAGGATTAAATGCTCCCCCAGGCCACACTACTGGGACCACGTGGGAAGGCACCTGCCTAGAACACAAAAGCACATGAGTTGCTTTGAAAGATTCTTGGCTTGCAAGTTTCCTCATGAAATCAGTATTTACTAGCAAAAACCCTACAGACATGCAGTATTTACCAGTATATGGGGCAAGAGTGTCTCCCAAACCCCTGGTACTGTGATGGGAGTGAGAATATGCCTTTCCAGGTGACACCTACCCAAAAGCACAGAGTCTAATTCTATAGTTCTCCCACAGACAAGCAGTGAAGTCAACAGGAGTTTTGTCTGCACAAGGATCTGTGGGCCCTAGCAATACACAGGGACCAGTCGGAGGCTAACAGACTGGGTGCAGAGAACGCACGGCTCTGCAGCTTCACCCAAAGGGATGCCAGGAAACAACAACGTTTCAGGCGTTAAACTCTAAGCTCTAACTATTGGGGATGGTGAAAAGCCACCAACAGAAACCAGAGATTGGGAGAGCAATTTGGAACAGTGGTCGTGTGGAATCCTACTGTCCTGCTCCCACTGAAGTCAGTTGACAGCTACTGACCCCCAGCTGAGCTCTCAGAATCAGTTTCATGTCACCCTCTCCAGGCATACACTGAGTCTTGCATTTACAGACATTTAAACACAATTAACATCCTACAGCCATGTGTAGTTTAATACAAAATAGAAACCCCTTTCTCCACATCAGACAGTAAAATTCTGTTAAAAAAATCCTTATGACTCTATAAAAGTACTTTGAATAAGCCACTTGTTGTGTCTATTTAAACACTCACATGTTTCTTTGGTGCAGAAATAAAGATTGTGTTAAATCTGTAGCCGATGGCACATGAAGGAGAAGGAAATAAGTGCTCAAGGACCAGTGGATGAAACATTAGGTGCAGCTACAGGACATGAAGCGTCATTAAAGAGACCATAGCTCTATAATCTAGGCAAGATTTCTCACCACATGAGCACTTCATATTAGAAACAGAATAAGACTGGATTGATTTGGTGCAATGAGGGGAGGGAGGGGACAAACCCCCCCTGCTCCTGCTTAGACAGTAGTTCTGCTAGGAATGATGGCTGAGTGCAGTTTCAGAGCTCGGTAGATAAGAGACCACACCAGCATGGTCAGAACCCATTGGTCCAAAGATTAAAATAACCATTTTAGAACCACAAAAGTGTACATGCCAGAGCATCTGGTTACAGTGTCACATACACACACCACAGGCTCACATTTGGGTCACCATAACCTCACACACCCCTGTTCGGCCAGCACAGCGGTGGATGTTGTCTATCAAGTGATGAAATAATAAAGTCCTGACCCAGTTAAGACCTGAATTTTTGCTTAGATCAGTCAGCATTGTGTAACCCTACTCAACTCCTTTTCCACTCATCTCCAAAATATTTACTGGGCCTCTCACTGTCCTAAGACATCTTTTTATAATTGTTGCTCTCCTTTTCCCAGCTATGAAAGGTAAGTTTTCTTAAAATAATGCATCAATTTTAAAGGGACGCTGTTGGGCTAATATTTATTTCTAAAATACCTGCATTACCAGTAAATTATGGCCTGATTTTCAAAGTTCCAGTTGACTCGAGCATCTGTAACTACCACTAAACTTTTTTTTTAATTCCCTAAAATAAAATCAGCTTATCAAAGCTTATTAAAAGTGAAAGAAGTTTAAAGAGCTAGTTTGCTTTTCACCATTTATGCTGTTGATTAACTTGTTGCACTTCACTGACCTTGGACAGTGCAACCGAACCAGTCACTTTCAGATCTGATTCTGGAAACTTTCACTTACTGGATCACATTAACTAGCCAGGTTGGGGGTTGCAACCATATTAGGAGAGAAAAAAAAGTTTGTATCCACCAGAACCTATGTTCTATTGAAAGTCTTTAAAAAGATTTCACAAAAGATACATTAGGGGTAGGTTTTACAAAAAACCCACCAACCCTCTCACCCTGCTAGAGACAGAAAAATGCTGATTCTAAGCTACTTGATGATGTCCCTTTAGTTCATTTTAAATAGATTCCAGACAGTTGGTGGTGGTGAGCTGTAAGGAATAGGCACGTTATGTAGTTAGGACACTTGTGAAGAACTGGCACAGAAAAAGGCTCTTCCTCATACCAGCCTGACTGCTTAGCATCTCGATGGCTTGTTTTAGGTTGTACAAGACAAGTTTGATCTAATTAAAAACACAGGTGTGAATTTTAAGGGGAAATATCCATTTAGGCTTGTGTCTTAAGGACCATCTGCTCTCCTATCCTGTTTCTCAGAAAGGGCTGGAGACAAGAGGAGGTTTGTTAGTACATGGGAGTCCATGGCCCTATTTGTACCTGGAAGAGTAATATTCTTCTTCTAGTTCGTACAGGTCAACGGAAATCTCATCCCTCAGCGAGATCAGCTTCTTGTCACACTCTTCCTGCACGTTCCGCAGCTGCTGGTTACGCTGGTTAATGGCTTCGTTCACGGAGGGGAAGTCATTGAGGATCAAGAACTGCTTCAGGTCGGACACAAGCTTCATCAGGGACTCGCCAGCTCGGACCTTGCAGGGTGGATAAAATATTAAGCAAACGGGACACAGAGTGACTTCGGGTCCTTTACCACGGCTCTGCAACATGATCTGCTGGGCTGCCCCCTCAACCTCACAATACCAGACTTTGCAACATGGGAGCAACTTGGCTAAAATGCTAGCTAAAAGCCTGCAGTATCAGAGGAAGAACGCATTAGCACAGTACAGTTGTCCATGTACACCAGGGGCAATATGCAACCTTCTGGCACTCTATGCACGAACCATGATGTTCTTTTGTTCCACTGGCAAGCACAGCCATCAGTAGTATAAACCCAGAACTATATGTTTTGGCACCACCCAAAGGCAAAAGAAGGTATTAACATTGCAAGCCAAGAGCAGGATTTCAGTCAGGGGCCTCACCAGTTACAACTGGGCAGCTCTGAAAGTGAAAGTTGATCAATTTGGGTCCCAACCCCAAGCGAAATCCAGAGCAAACAGAAAAATCGCTCTCTTCCTTTGCACTGGGAAAGCCACCCAGTGATGATTACACCTCTTGCAGCAACTGTCATTAGTATTCTGAGTGCTCCTCATGGATGCTGTAACGGACCACAGAGCACACAAGATCCGCTATGCAGCACGCCTGCTTGGCACACAAGCTGTACTTACGATGTTGGCAGCTCTGACGTGCATCTCGTAGTTGTCCTGCTCGCTCTGGGTCGCTCGAGAGACTTGGGTTTCATCTTCAATCTAAAAATTAATTTAAAAAAGCCACAAATCTTCAGCTCACCCAATATTCCTGCATCCCAGAAGAGGTTATTACTTTAAAGAATAGCTTGTTTCAGTTCAAACCACATATAAAAGGGGCTTGTGTCCCTGATCCCATCTAGTAGATGCTTTTGGTAGGATCAGGGTTAAGAGTGCACCATTTGTTGATCTCCCATCTCTTCCCTCATGTTAACCAATTGCTGTTCACCTCTCTGTTTTCCTTCGACTGTCTTCTTTGATTCTTCCCACCACCGATTTTCCAGCACTCCCAGCTTGTTTGATTGGACTGTTTTTTGAAAACCGAGTAGCATAATTTGCAACTGTTCACTAGTAACCTGCTAAAAATAACTGTTGAAAACTCAGGAGGCCAAATTTGGCATCAACCTACTCTCACCCCATGTAAAGCTATTAAAGCCTCATTGAAGAATAAGACCAAGCTTGGCGTAGATGCAGAATAGATGCATAACTGCAGAATTTGACTCCAGGAAGTGAAAGCTTCAACAGCTGAATCTCTATGAGCCACCTAAATCTCACTGTTCAATTTTCAAATGCAGCCTTTTCCCGTGAGCTGGATTGGTATTTCTAGCCTTGAGGGTGTAATGATCATTCTGAGCAAAATTATTGGATCTACGTTTATATTTCAGCCCATGTTACCTTAGGATTTAGTCCTACAAATGCATAATTAGGATGCAAGTAGTCCCAGTGACCGGAAGATCAGGGTCTAAATTATAATCTTACATTTTTATGGTGCCTTTCATCCAAAGGGATCCCAAAGCACCTAAAAAAATTATAGACAAGGATCACTTTTCCCCAGCACTCAAAATGAGTCACCTCTGCTCTAAATTTCAGCTAGAGAGCTAATTAGTCTCTATTAGTTCATTACAAAACAAGGAGTCAGGTCAGAAATTCAGGAATTTTCTGATTATCTACAGCTATTTTCAGGATGAAGAGATCTATTCTTTTGTTCAGTGCGGTCAGGAAATCCCCATCTGCAATGTGTTGCCTTTTCCATAGTGGCTAATTGGCCTTTGCCTCACCCACCTCACCTTCTACATAAGGAAGCTGGTGTAAGAAGGTGGGGACTATGCTAGTTGGTCACAAGCCGGAGGATTGTTCTACATATTATAGGCTGGGAAAATAGTTAATAAGTCCAAGTAAAAAGGAGGAAGAAATATAGATACACTGATTTTGTAGTGACAAAGCAAGTTGACAAAGATTTAGGGACCCCACAGCTGTGAAGGTGTTACAAGCTGAAGGTTATTAGGAGTCATCTCCAGGATTTAAACATCTGGGGTAAGAGTGTTTTGATATATAGTTGTTAAATGTGATGTTAGTGGAGGAAATTTGTTCCTTTAAGTGGTGCAGGAAACTGACTCTTCTCAGAGAGCTTGCCTAAATCTAACTGTGGAAAGGATTATTCTTTTGAGGGAATGTTCTATTTATGGGATATTTAAAAATAAATCAAGCTTTATATGACTTCCCACTTTTGTTCTGTTGTGTGCAGACACTTGTTCCCTTGTTTAGGATTAGAGGGACTCTAGTGGTTCTTCTAACTAGTGGAAATAAAACTTGAGTGGGCTCTGGGATGGACTTCTATACCCACACCTCACTCTGACAGCTACCAAATGGGTACTGACTTCATTCGCCTTCTTTCAAATACCCACCTTAGCAGTCTTGATGATCTCTGTGAAGTTATCCATGATCGACTTGATGTCATCTTTCAGCCTCTTGTTGTAGGACTGTAGGAGGGTTTCTTTACTCTGAGGCAGGCCTCGTTGTTGGGACATTGTGTTAAATTAGATTGGAACTGAAAGGCAGGAAAAGATAAAGCCTATTACAAGCCCCAGGCCAGGGGCTGCACCACACATTAAATCCTAATAATTCCAATCACAACATGACACCAGCCTATCGAAATGCTTCCTCTGAAACGCCTAATCTTACTAGGAGCCAAAACCACACAAAGCCAATCTCTTCTCCCTACTCTAACCAGGAAGGGCTGTAATTCTGCTCCCACTGACCAACAAGAGCAGGATTGGGCCATTATACAGTCTTAAATCTACACCACAGTTTAAACAAAGAAATCAGCTGCAGCAAATAGTTACTGTCAGAGGCCGTAGGGAGAAGTTATGGGGGTCCACAACAGATATTTCCAGGCAGCAACCTCAGCCCACCAGCTCCCTGGGGACAGGAAAGAAGGTCCCCTAGCTAAGGTCTCTAGTACCTACTAGCCTGCCTGATTGCTGGAGTGAGTGTTCCCACTACAGCACTGGAGGCACGACTGTGAATTAACTCACAGCCCTCTAGCAGGGTCCATCCACCTGCAACCTGCCATGAAACAGCCCCTGAGGGCAGTGCCTGCTGCGGGCTCTGCTTTACTCACCTAGCTAGTTACCCAGGCATTGCCAGTACCCAGCCACCGCCTTGGTGTCACCAGCACAGAGCACTGCTGCTCTCAGCCAGGGCTCCTGGCTTCGCTGCAACCACCCACCTCTCAGGATCATCCCACCCGCCTCTCTTCTTCGCTGGTGGTTGGCTGCTGCGGACGCCAATCCTTTGCCCTGGGTTGGGACCTGTTTCAAGTAGAGTTGAGTGAGCAGGTTTTTTAAAGCAGCAGGGTGTGTAATGTGTGTGTGTGTGTGTCCCTGACTTGCTGCTTGGGCAGACAAGAGTGTCTGCAGCCCCTGCTCTTTACAAAGGCACCAATCGACTGCTTTAGGGACGTGCAGGCAAGGTGGAAACTGCAGGATTTCTCCAAACCGTTATCACTTAGGCGAGGGGTTCTCAAACTGGGGGTCGGGACCCCTCAGGGGGTCGTGAGGTTATTACATGGGGGGTGATGAGCTGCCAGCCTCCACCCCAAACCCCGCTTTGCCTGCAGCATTTATAATGCTGTCAAATATATTAAAAAGTGTTTTTAATTTATATGGGGGGGTCACACTCTGAGGTTTGCTATGTGAAAGGGGTCACCAGTACAAAAGTTTGAGAACCACTGACATAGGCAGGCTTGAAAGCATTGGCCTATAGCTGGACTGTCTGAAGGGTCAGGCAGATACTCCTCCATTTGTCACTTCTGGAAGACTTTGTAGCCATAAGAGCTAGAGATTTTGTTTTTTTTAATTAAAGCTTAGCTGGAGCACAAGACCCAGCCACCCACAAAAGGTACCAGCTCCTGTCTCAGCATAAACTGGGCCCATTCCAAAGTAAATGCCTGGCCCAACTCCAGGTGAGCAGGGGTGGGGAAAACGGGGGCAAAACTTTCTTAGGCTTTGCACTAGGGTCTGGTTCATGCTGTGGCACGTAATGCATTAGTATTAACTTCCCCATTCGCTTCCAACAGACAAGGAACAACACAGAGTGACCACTTACCCCTTATTTTAAGAGACCTCGCCTGACCATTTTAAACAGCAAACTGAGCAGCAGAAATACACCTTTGAGAGAAGCAACAGAGGGTCCTGTGGCACCTTTAAGACTAACAGAAGTATTGGGAGCATAAGCTTTCGTGGGTAAGAACCTCACTTCTTCAGCTGCAGGAGAAAAAATACCGGCTTTGCTAAGGGAACTAGGGTGTCCCTAAAGTGTCCCTAATTAAACAGAGCATTGTTATTGATTTGCATCCAATAGGCCTGACAGGCTCTTTCACTAGACTCCCCAGGCTGCGGCAGCCAGCTGTGGGAACCTGCAGGAAAGGTCAGAGCAGGGATAGGAAGCCGCGGGCGGGTGGACACTAAGACCCAGGGTGCCCCACGCAGCTGCGTGTGAGCCAGGACCGTGCTGCGAGTGTTTTTGCGGAAAGGCACCATTACTGTCACACACCCGGCCGCCTCCGGGCCAGACTCTTCCCCAGGGCTTGTGGGAGCACCTAGGGTGACCAGACAGCAAGTGTGAAAAAATCCGGACAGAGGGTGGGGGGTAATAGGAGCCTATATAAGAAAAATACCCCAAAATCGGGACAGTCCCTATAAAATCAGGACATCTGGTCACCCTAGCGCTCCCAGGAGGGCGAACTGGGCACCGCAGCTGCTGCCACCTAAGGGCCGCAAGGAGCCTGCTCGGCAAACCAGGGCGTTTACACAGGGCCCCAGCCCGTTCGCTCCGGAGTGGGATTGTGTGGACCTGGTGAGCAGGACAGGGCTGAGTCAGGGCACACGCCCTCTGCTCGCCAGCTGCCCACCTCATTCCCGTGCCACCCAGCAGTATCGACAGGGCTCTCCAACAAGGGGTTGGGGCGACCGCTGCCCTCTCTAGAGGGCTTGCAGCTCCCAGCTTCGTAAGGCTGCTCCAGTCCACAGCTGTCAGCAATAAACTCCGCAATTCCTCCTTCCTCTGGGAGTAATCGGGTGCGCCATGCACAAGGACCAAGGTACCTGCAATTTTTCCTTTCAGATGTTCTATGAGCTGTGTGGTGTCTAATCTTGTTTAGATTTTGGAAAAAATACAGCAGGTCTGGGGTTTGCGGGGAGACCGGGTGTTTTAAATGCGGAGAAGTAACTTAAAAATAGCCGCTATTAAATGCTTGAGACAAACTAATATTCAGTGAACTTAGGTCCATATTCTGCTCTTGAAGAAATGGCATCAAATTTACATCTGGGTCTGGAGAAGCGGGAAGTCTTAGCCACACGTTCATTTTATTTATATATATATATATATATTCTCTTCCCCTTTTTTTCTTTCTCGCATCTTTCTTCTCCCCATATTCCCCTTACTCTCAACCACTTTCTTTATTTGCCCACAGAGGAATGGGATCAATAAATACTTCTGAGATGTAGTTTATCCATATATTGTAGACTGAGGGTTATTCCCCCCCGCCCCCCATAGACCAAATGTTTCCCCTTTACATCAAAGCAATAACTGACTGAGAGTAGAATGCAGCCCTACATGTTAACCTCAGTAAAGTCGCACCAGTGTAATGGGGGAGAGAATTTGTTCCTCTGCATTTTACCTGCATGCATTTATATATATATTAATATAGGACTCAGTCCTGACCCACTGAAGACAATGGATGTTCAGTCGGTGCAGGATGGGGCCCATACTTTTTGAACTATTTTGGGAATATGGAAGATTGTCAATTAGAATATTATATAAAATACTGCACTGGCTTTCTATCAGATGTAAAGAGCACTTTTATTTTCCTCTCCCCGTTGTCTGAGTTGGTCTGTATATTTACAAATAATTTTCAGGGAAAATCTAACACACACAAATCCCAGGTTCTGAGCTGGATTTGCAGCTTTCTTTGCGTTTGTCT